TCATTTTATTATTAAGCTTTTCATTTGCATCTTACAATGTCACGTACAACAACTGCTCTCTCATCATCGACGCTTAATAGAAGCTTCTCATCTCTGCCGCCATCCACTACCTTCGCAATTTCCTCTCAACGGTGCGACGTCGCTGCTTCATCGGCTGATTTGCATTGTGCAGCAGCGACGACTGGGATGGGATGCCGACTATTATAATGTGTGAAAGGTATATAAAGAGAGAAAAAAATAATTAGGGTTTGGGATGAAATTTAGTGGTATTATTAATATTTAATATTAAAAAATTGAATTAATATCTATTATTAACTTTATATATGATTTTTGAAATTAAATCTGAAAAATTCTGATTTTATGTAATTACCACAAATACAAAATGTATCTTAAGCATACCAAATTAAGGGTTTGTTTGGGCCGGATTAAAATTCGATTTTAATGCAAGTCAAAGTCAAACAATCAATATTAACCACATCTTTCATGAGTCCAACATCTTTTCCACCACACATTTCAAAAACTTCTATCATAATCCACTAAAAATCTAATTTTAATCCCCACCAAGCACCCTATAAGAGCCTGTTAGACAAATATTAATTTATTTTATGGTTTGTTACATGACAGTTTTCAACCACACATTCATATAATAAAATATTATGCATGTATACGAATTTTTTTTGTACTTTTTAACCCCACACATTCCTAAAAATCACTATTCAAAACTTTTTTTATATACAACAATGGTTATCAAACAAGATCTAAATACTTGGAGAAATTACATTATTGGTTCTCTATCCACTCATTTAATAGCAAGTTGATTTTTTATATTTCATTACAATATTACAATTAATCGGCAAGATGGAAATTATCCAAATCTATGTAAATTGTCACTTAATCCATTTACATTTTATTTTATGAAGTTAGGTTTATAACTTCAACGAGTGTCCAAAACATTGAGGCGAGACATGTTATCTTAATACTTAATATTTGTTTGGGTCCAATCTTTTTGAAAATTCATTTTCAATAACATATTCTTAAATAAAATAATATTATACGTTAATTGAAAGAGTAATTAGCACATAAATTTCCCATCTTTCATTGTTATTGTGGAAAACGTCAATGTCTTTCATTTTTTGACATTTTCACCCTTATTTTCGCCTTTTATTTAAATATGATGGTATATTCATCATTTTACAACTTTTATTGAGAAATTTGATGAAAATAGATAGAAATGATGGTTTGTGCAATTAAATGTATTATTAAGAGTGAAAATGCTAAAAAATAAAATAAAAGGTGTGGACGTTTTTTTGGAATAATAGTGAAATGTTGAGACATTATGTGTTAATTACCTTTTAATAATTTATTTGTGACTTATTTGCTCATTTTAAAAAAATTCGGGACCATGATTGCAATTGATTTTTTCTTTTTGTTTTATTAAAGAGAATTGTATATTTTCATCTTTTCATAATTTTTAATTGAGAAAATAGGTGAAAATGACATTCTGGGCAAAGAAATGTGGAAATAAGGGTGAAGATGCCAAAAAATAAAAGGTATTGACGTTTTTCACAGTAATAATGAAAGATAAGAACGTTATATACTAATTACCCAAATCAAAAAAAAAAATTCTTAATTTTTGATCATACATTCTAAAAAAATCACCATTCAAAAATACATTTTTTCTCTTAAAATGGGACTCAAACAAGGACTTAATAAAAAAATGGATGATTTTTGCGATTGGGGAATTATAATAAAAGGTTGAATAATTTTCTTGGGTAATTAACACATAACGATGTCACCTTTCATTATTATTGTGGAAAACGTCAATACCTTTCGTTTTTGGCATTTTCACTCTTATTTTCACATTTCATTACGCCAAAGGTCATTTTCATACATTTCTCAATTAAAAATTGTGAAATGACGAAAATACCATTTCCTTTAAATAAAACAAAAGAAAAAAGAAAAAACTAATTGCAAACATAATCCCAACTTTTTTGAAAAGCGCAAATGAGTTCCAAATAAATTATTAAAAGGGTAATTAGCATATAATGTCCCTACCTTTTACTATTATTGCGAAAAATATCCTTACCTTTTATTTTATTTTTTGGTATTTTCTCCCTTAATTATAATTTGATAGCGCAAACCACCATTTTTATCCATTTTCATCTAATTTCTCAGTAAAGAACTGTGAAATAATAAATATACCTTCATATTTACATAAAAAATAATTTTTTAATTTCTAATTCTTTAATAATTTGTCTGGGGTTCATTTGCACATTTTAATTTTTAAATAAATTTAATATAGACTCGTTTGCACTTTTTAAAAAATTTGGGACAATAGTTGCCATTAATTCTTTAGCTTTTTTATTTAAATATGAGGGTATATTCGTCATCCTACTGTTTTTATTGATAAATTGGATGAAAATTGATAGAAATAATGATTTGCACTATTGCCAAAAAAATAAAAGGTATGAATGTTTTTTGCAATAATAGTGAAATGTAGAGACGTTTATGTGCTAATTACCCTTTTAATAATTTATTTGAGACTCATTTGTGCTTTTAAAAAAAGTTGAGACTATATTTGCAATTAGTTTTTTTTTCTTTTTCCTTTTGTTTTATTTAAAGGGAATGGTATTTTCGTTATTTCACAATTTTTAATTGAGGAAATAGATAAAAAAGATATTTTGAGAAATTAAATGTGAAAATATGGGTGAAAATGCAAAAAAATGAAAGGTATAGACGTTTTCTACAATAAAAATGAAATGTGGGAACGTTATGTGCTAATTACCCTAATTTTCTTCAACGTTCGAAAAAGTATTCTTCTCTTTAAAAGTTTAGGGACTAATAGTGCATTTTTAAAAATATTTGTTAGGATTAAAATTTATTAGTGGGAAAAAATGTATATTTGAATAGTGATTTTTTGAAAAATGTGTGATTAGAAAAGAAAGAAAAATTTTAAATTTATTTGTAATATTATTTTATTGAAAAATGTGTAATTAAAAAAAGAAAAGAGAAAAACATATTTTGAATAAAATGAAGCCCGTACATGGACTGAATATCTATCCAAAGCAACCTTCAAACCCCATATGTGTTTGTTAGGTCAGGTCATTTCCATATCTCAAAACCCCAACCAATCCCAACATCTTTTTACTTTCGGAAAAAAAAAAATCGATGAAAAAAGGTAGGCCAACAAAAAAGAAGTTGAAACAAATGAATCGAACTAGTCTCTATGACTACAATTTCAATTCCATTAAATGGTTCGGTCCTTCCATCACCTCAAAATAAAAGAAAAGATCTCTTAGTTCTATAATAGAAATTTGTTTCTATAAAAGAACTATCTTTGATCCATACTGAATTTTTCGGCAAATAGAATATCCCAGAACATATTAATCATAGCAAATTTTAAACTTTCGAAAAAGGAAAAAAAAAAACACTTTTACTTTTGTTATTTCAAAATAATTTCGACACGATATACATGTCGAAAATGACAATTACACTTAACTAATAACATTAAAAGTAAAAGGCATTTACTTTCATCATTTTCAAAAAAGATTTGACATTACTGATAAGTTTTTGTTTGTTGAACTAAGCTTGTTTGGCATAGAAAAATGATTTTTCAAAGAAAATTTGTGGTTAAAAATGATTTTAAATTTTTTTGAAAACGCATTTACTTTTATTATTTCAAAATGTCTGACATCACGTATAAATTTGACATGTTATACTCGTCAAAATGACTATTACCCATAAATTAATCATAGCAAAAGTAAATCGCATGCGATTTACTTTTGCCATTTTATAAAAAAATTTGAAATTACGGGTAAGTTTTTGTATGTTGAACTATGCATATTTGGTTTAGTTTCTCTTAGAAGGACAATGCTACTTGTCCATGTGCCACCCGTCCCCTGCCATTGAGGGGACAATTCTTCAAGTGAAATAATCCTTTGGAAAATGATAAATTTATTTGTACAATGTCTTTTTCACAACATTGTTAACAATTTTGTAGGTGACAAAAAAAATGTTAGTTAAAAAAATAAATTATTTTTAAAATTGTCAAATGACAACATACTGCGTAACATGTTGTCAATAATATTGTAAACAACACTGTACATCAAGTATGATTGTTCTGAAAATTTGTGGTTAAAAATCATATTAAAATTTTGGCAAACAAGTACAAGTTTTAGCCCCCGCTTCGTTACGTTATTCCCCAATAAATTATAATTAACTTTTCTTATTAACTACACCTTCTCCAATAAAATAATATTACACGTAAATTCAATTTTTTTTTTCTTTTTTCCTCATCACTCATTTTTCTTCCGAAAATGATTATTCTTCTCGGTGACCTATTTGAGCCCTTTTTTGTGTAGAATGCATTTAGGAATAGTAGATTGAAGTAAAATGTAAGATTAAAAATTAAGGAAATTTTTTTGAATTATATTTAATATTACTTTATTGAAGAATATATCGTTATGAAGAAAAAAGAGAAAAATATAATTTAAAAAAAATAAGGATCAAACAATGTCAAATTTATAATATAGAAATTATGAGGGCAAGACGGGCGCTTATAGCGTTCAATGGTGTACACAATTCATTAAAAGTTGTACCTTAGTTCAATTCACTGATTTGCCACTACTAAAATTTCGTCATGCCGCCGTAGTTTGAGTTCAACTGTTCAACTCTACGGTACTTGTCGGGTTTATTCAGCCGTACACACAAACACACGTTAAAACGTATCTTTAAAAAGGGAAAAAATAAAAATACAAAAGATCTCTCTTTCTCTCTATAGAGAGATCATAGTCATACTTCACTTGAACCTGTAGAGAGAGAAAGCGAATTGATTTAGTGATAGAAGGTGCGTGTTTGGATTGGCCGTCAATTCGGCCTTCCTGTGCATCGAATTGTGTAAAAATTGAGAGATCGAAGCTAGGGCTTTTGGAAAATGAATCGTTGAGAATTCGAGCTATGATATTACTATAGAGGTTTGGAATTAGGGTTTTAAGTTAGTAATGGAAGTGGATTCGGCTATGAGCGGTGAGTCCGGTCACGATCCATCGGTCCAGACTAATTCAGCCAACGGGCCGGACCAACCTGCTGATTCCCAATCTCTGTCTGCTCAGCAGAGTAATAATAATACTGTTAATAGTAATAGTAATAGTTGTGGTGGTGGAGCGGTGGTGGTAGGGCCGCGGTGTGCGCCGACTTACAGCTTGGTGAATGCGATAATTGAGCAAAAAGAGGATGGGCCAGGGCCGCGGTGCGGCCATACTTTGACTGCTGTCACGGCAGTTGGGGAGGAGGGTAGTCCGGGATATATTGGGCCGAGATTGATTCTGTTTGGTGGGGCCACAGCGCTTGAAGGGAATTCCGGGGCCTCAGGAACTCCTTCCTCGGCTGGAAGTGCTGGGATTCGTATGTTTCTTTCAATTTTTGAAATATTCTCAATTTTTTTTTTTTTGAGACTTATAATTTAGTTAATTATATTTGTAAATGTGGAAAGAGGATTTATTTTTTATTTTTTGCTAAATTGGTTATTTAGTTACGTTGAGTTGATTGAAATGTCATTTCTGGTAAGCTACTGAGGAAATTGGGTTGAGTGACCCCAAATTTGGATGCTTTTGCTGGAATTCTTAGATTTTGGGTTACATGCCCATTGCTTTTGTGAGGTGCATGGAAAATTATTTTGTAGTAAAGTTGGGGTTGAAATGAGATGTTGATTTATTTACAAAAAAAGTTGAGATGAAGATTGGAGTATGTGTAATAATCCCCATTATTTCTAAAATACATTTTTCTATTTCTTCTTTTCAACCACACATTTTTTAATAGAATAATATTATATGCAAACTCAAAACCTTTCCTTTTTTTTGACCAAATATTCTCCAATCTCCATCAATCTACTATTTCAAAGTGTATTCTACAAAAAAAATTAAAAAATGGGGCTCAATAGGCCCATAGTCTAAGATTCTAGCTTAAATTGTTTCAGGTTGTTGAGAGTGTTTAACTGATTTCAAGTTTGAAATTTGTAAAAAGTGAGGTGATTCTTTTCTATCTCTTCATATTGGCTTGTAGTAGTTCAAGATATTGAGGTATTTCATATTTATCTGTGTTGAAGAGTAGCTTTAACTAATTTTTGGTTGAAATTCAAGTGAAGTTACCCTTTTAATTATCATCCTGAGAACAAAAAATGAAAATGTGATAAATATTGCTTGTCATTACTTGGAAATGAGAAAGAGACTCTTGCTGAGGAAAGATGATTTAGGTTGTGTAAATGAGTGAGGCGTGTCTTTTCGAGGATAGTAATTTTAGGGAATGCTTATTTTAATTATTGTAAAATGAATAAGAATAGTGCTTGATTGCTTTTTTGGTCAATAGTTAGAACGGAACTGTAACTCATTATGTATCTATGATGTTTAAGATGTATTTAATTGCAGGGCTGGCTGGGGCTACTGCTGATGTACATTCTTATGATATATTAACAAATAAATGGTCTCGGTAAGCTTAAGTTTATAACTTATCTCATTGGAATTCGTACTCAATTTTCTGGTGTAGTGGTTACTCATCTTAGTTTTGAATTTTTTTGTAATAAGGTTCCATGCTTTAATGCAGACTTACCCCTATTGGAGAGCCACCGACACCAAGGGCAGCTCATGTGGCAACTGCTGTGGGTACTATGGTTGTTATTCAGGTTTGTTGACAGGTGGATTAATGTTGAGAATTTCTAGTTGTATTTATTATTTATGATTAGGATATTTAAGATATTTTAATGTTCTGTCATTCACAGGGTGGAATTGGTCCAGCCGGTTTGTCCGCAGAAGATCTTCATGTCCTGGACCTCACACAGCAACGACCGCGATGGCATAGGTTAGCCTCTTTGAAATAGCGCGCATATGCATATTCTGGAGACCTATACATGATTGCATGCTTATGCATTAAAAAAATACACGAAATGTGCATTCTTGCATTAATAATTGCATGCTTATCTTTGTTTTTGTGTTCTTTTAGGGTTGCTGTCCAAGGTCCTGGACCAGGGCCACGCTATGGGCATGTCATGGCTTTGGTGGGCCAAAGATATCTCATGACAATTGGTGGAAATGATGGTAAGTATCACGCTCCATATCTTCCCTTATACTATTATTTTTTTATTTTTTTGTAGATTCAAGCAATGATTTTGTGCATAACCTCTAGGAAAACGTGCTTTAGCTGATGTATGGGCACTGGATACTGCCGCCAAGCCATATGAATGGCGAAAACTGGAACCAGAGGGTGAAGGTCCACCTCCATGCATGTAAGTTTTTTTCCACTTTCTCTTTTACCTTGGCATTCATTCTTTCTACCTCTCCTTCTGTTTAGGTCTTTCCATTATGACTCCAGCATTTCCTTTTTCCTCCCATTACCTTATCTGCATATAATTCCGTTAAAAGTGGATGGAAGTTTTATTTTATCCTTTGTCTTTCAATATTACTTCTGAATTCAGATCACTGAGGGAAACATAAAAGTCAATCAGGTAGAATACTTGGCTTAATTTGCCCTTCTCTTCTATTTTATTTTATTTTTTTATTTTTTAAATAAGCTTACACATAATTGTTTGCAAATTTTCTGGTTGTTTGGATAGTTGAGAAATGGCAACAATAATATCAATGAAATCTCACTGGATTTAATATTTTTGCTAAATGGACCATCTTATGAAATCAGTTTTTATATCGCAGTTCGGCAATCTGGACGAATTTCTCTTTCTGTTTTCAGAATATGATGGGATTGCATATTTTTGGGTGGTCTGGATGAGGGCATTAAACTGATTCTTTGGCTTATTATGGTTTGAGCTTCTCATGGTGTGGTGTAGTCTACTTCGTCTACATGACTAATTAATATTCTAGATTCTCACTTTGTCATTCAGTTATTCAAGTCAATAAATGCTTTTCATATTTGCAGCTAGTTTGACCTAAATCAGTTTGTGATGTTACTCAGAAACACAACTAACAGCATAAGCATATTCAAAGTGGATAGAGCACGTTGTTTGGGGAAATAACTTGTAATGTTTTTGTAGGAATTGAGGCTCATTTGCTTTGCCAAAAAAGAGCAAATTTAATTTCCAATTAAATTTACATTCAATGAGATCAGCAAGACATTTATTGCATGGATCATTAACTCACCAATCGACAGCCAATATGATTTGCATTTGCTTGTCTCTGTATTTTACAAGTAAAAGAAATGGTGGGAAAAAAATAAGGAACACATTTTAGTCCTCTGCTGTTGACTTACAGTTGTATGTACATTTCAGACAACAATTTTCACCATTTTTCTGTTGTAAGTACTGGTTTTACTTTTTTATATAATAAATCTGGTTTATGCCCGTTTGATCCACATTATTTTTTCATTCTCATTCTTCTACTCATTTTCAATCACACATCCTTCAATAAAAAAATATTTTCTATCACATCAATAACTTTTTATTCTTTTTCAACCACATTTTCCCAATCACATTACTTCTGGGCTCTATATATGCATACATGTGATGTTTGCATCCGGACATATACTGGTTTTGTATGTGATGAAATGGAAAGTTTGTGGATTTTTTTAGAATCAAATATTCTAAAATTGCAGGACGACACATCAATTGTTTTAAATTTGTAGTAGTACAATCAACCATGCTGTCTTTGTTGGTTTAAGGAGAATGTCCGTAATCGTTTCTCAGTATTTTCTATCTTAAAATACTTGATCCTTTTGGAGTTGTCCAAGCCTTCTTGAGCTTTTGACTTATTTTGTTCAATCCTCACTTTATGAGAACTTTTATTGTCCTTTTATTGTCCTTTGTCTTTTGATATTTGTAATTTCAATATGTATTTAGAAATACGGATGACTTGTTGCTCATCTAAGTGTTTAATTTCACCTTCTGCATTTATGGTAGTTGCTTAAATCAGGTAAAGAAGTAAGGCCATTTTGTTATTAATTGTAGGGAAAATGATCTTTCGAGCTTGAGAATCCAATTTTCGGTTAAAAGAATCTCTTTAAATGTGAAAAATTATTTTAGGAAGCAATGCTGGGGTCTTCTTATGCTTTGCTAGTTTGGAAAATTGTACGGGCTCATAACTGGTTCCATTTGACGTGGTAGAGAACTTGTTACGCATTTTATGTAACGTAAATATACTCCAAGTATACGGTGACAAGTTTTGTAATATAAAAATCAAGTACAGATGTCGAACCCACAATGATTGAAATTCAATTTATTATTAAGTGTTATAATTATGTATCCTCTATTTTATCTAGACAATCAAATTATAAGATCAATGATTTTAAACTAATCTAATGATGAATATGGTGACGAATTGAACGATATCAATGCAAGTTTGAAAGATTTTTCAATAGGAGAAAGTCTAGGATTTTGATTTCACCTTAATATCAAATATGTTTCTCAATTATATAATTGTTTCTAAATAATTTTCCTAAGTTTATAAGCAAGAACCCTAATGTAATTCTACTCCCTCTCTCGAGTGCCGAGTAAAACTATTCATATATTTCAATTCTAATAGCTACATTCCGAATTAAAATCTTGAAATTATCAAGTTCATGGTTCTTAAGTAAAACATGCTTCAAAGATTTTATACTTTATCTCGAAACCTATAAAATCTGGGTTGTGTTATTCTATAACCGAAATTTAAAGCATCTAATCATTCAATTAACGACCAATTAATTGAAAGCATTAATAATAAATAACACAAATAAACATGATTGGAAAATTTCAAAGAAATAACTATAATAAAATCAAGCCATATTCTTAAGTTTTGGTTTTATCAAACCCTAGATTAGATGTTTAGTTCATGACGGAAGCCATATAAATAATTCAAATAAAACAAGATAGAGAAGAGAATAGAAAAACTAGTTTTGGTAGATTTTCAATCTCCTTTGCGATGTTCTTGATATCTTGATGATGGCTTGCTTCTTGCCTCATTGAATCGTCCTTTAAAATTAGGTTTTAGGGGTTGTATTTATAGTATCTTGAACTCTTGGAAAAATTAGGGTTGGATTGAAATTTAAAAAGAATGTAAAAAATTCAAAACATCTCTCCATCAGGTGGTTTCTCAGCATCGTGTTTTTCCCTTTTCTCCCAAGATTGGGTGTTGGGGTGCCCAGTTTGTGGCGCTTGAGCGCCAATGCAGCGCTCCCATTTTCGGGTAAAAGCTCAGCACTGTGCTTTCTTAAATATTTTTATCATAATTTTTCTCCCGATATGATGATATCTGATTGAGACGATTCAAAGTGCATTGGAAAGATAACTCAAAAGGGTTACAACTTTGCTTAGATAGCTTTTTCTATTTTGAACGTTTAAATCTGGAACATAGTTGTGTAGTTGAAAATTGATTTGTAAAAATATTTTGATCATAGTTAACTCTTTTTTGACTTCTAATTGTATCCAGTAATCTTCAATTATTGTTCCGAATCAACTAGTGAAAAGTTACAATTGAGTCCTCAAACTTTAGATTTTACCATTTTTTGGTCGTTGTTCACTTCTTTCTTTCAATGTAGATTCCAATCATCAAATTTCACCAAATCAATATCAACTTCCCATTGTTCCACCTAACCTATAAAATAACACGAAAACACAAATCAAAACGTTCTAAAGCTCTAAGAATCAAATGAAATAACAAGATTAAGTAGCATTCATATGATGAGTGAAACACACTCATCAGAAATGTTAGCTTGACCAAGCCTGGCACCAACTTGGCTTCTTTTATGAATCTTTTTGCATGTGCACAATTTCACTGTCTTCATTAGTAGTTTTATAATTTTTTGAGAAAAATGTATATCCTTTTATATGACATGGTATGAACATCTGGACTGTGTCTTTAAGAAGTGAAGTTATCTTGATCTTTTGCTTGCCTGTCGCCTTTCCCAGGTACGCAACTGCAAGTGCACGCTCTGATGGTCTTCTTCTTTTATGCGGAGGAAGGGATGCAAGTAGTGTGGTTAGTGTGATTTCTGAAACTTTCACCTCATAGATGATTATGATATACCTGGATTCACTTATTCTTTGCTTTGGATGCCCAATTCTTTACATTTTCCTCTTCATTTAATGTTTCTATTTGTTCATTTTTCATGGGGTTACTTCACTATACCTTCCTAAGTGGTGCCTTAGTCCTAAATTTGGTCTATTTAAATGAAGGAGCACTGGTTTCTTTTTCTTTTTATGCTGGTTATTTTATATATGTAGATGTACACTCTTTCTGTTGATCATGTTATTATATCTATTGTCAGAGATGGAGAGTCTACTGCCCAGATTACAGTTTCTGTTGATGCTTCTCTCTTAAATATTTGTCTTTTCTTGCATAACGATTAGGTGGATTGAGTGTAGGTGTCACTAGTTGATGCTGAAACTTGACTGGCTTAAAGGTCAACCTTGTGGTGCTAAGATTTTATTCTGAAATTCACATCATCTTTTGCATTGCCCTTATTTTTGAAAGTTTTAAGAATCTTCTATATGCTTGCTTGGAAGGGTAATAATGCACAATAGTTGTTCCTGTGACACCACTGGTGTTTGAAATTTTTTTCAGTAAGTTGGCTAATGATGAAGATGACATTAACGGCAGAAAGATCAGTTAAACACTTTTTCTCTGGTTCTCTGTTGACCCAGTCTGTTCATATGTTTTTATGCAGCCTCTGGCAAGTGCACATGGGCTTGCCAAACATAGAGATGGTCGATGGGAATGGGCCATTGCACCCGGTGTCTCACCATCTCCCAGATATCAGCATGCAGCAGTGAGTTCTTTTATTAATCACTGATCGTGATAAACTTCATCTGTAATTAGGACTACTTAAAAATCAAAGAATTCTTCTCTCATGCTAAAACTTATGATTTAATACTGGTATTTTTAGGTTTTTGTTAACGCACGTCTTCATGTATCTGGAGGGGCACTTGGGGGTGGACGCATGGTAGAAGACTCATCAAGTGTGGCTGGTACTTTTCTTTATTTTTGTTTATTTATAAAGAATTTCTCTTTTTTCCCTTGCATCTACCAAAAATTTGAGTTGTCCTAGAAGAAGATTGCATTACATCAATTTTTCAATAATATCTGCATGTACCTTTACTGTGCAGTTTTGGATACCGCAGCAGGAGTTTGGTGTGATACAAAGTCTGTTGTTACGAGTCCGAGGACTGGCAGATACAGTGCTGATGCTGCCGGTGGGGACGCGACAGTTGAACTGACAAGACGCTGTAGGCATGCTGCTGCAGCTGTTGGTGACTTGATCTTCATTTATGGCGGTCTTCGTGGTGGTAAGACATGATACCGCAGCATTGACAAGATATGTTATGTTTGTTTTATTTAGTTTTGGATATAAGGCGGTAACTGTTACTAGTGTTTCTTGTAACACTGTATCTCCAATGACTCAAGTAATCGTGTAACAATTAAGAAATAGTTAGCTTTGTTTAGGAAAAGATTAGAGTCTAGGTGCGTAGGAGTGATGTCATTATGTTTCGGATTTTTTTGTCAGGATATTATAATACACGCTAAAATGACTAGCTTATTATGCTTGATCTGGTCGTTTATTATTGTTATAGTTTTTTATCTTTGAACTCAATGTAATTGTAAGACGTTTTACACAATTCCTTATTTTCCCTGTAATTAAACCTTTGTGGGAATATATTATAAAACTAGGATAAGTTGGATTTTACCGGATTTCTAAGGTGAGGAGAATTAGTTCAACTGAATGTTTGAAATAGAAAATGAATGCCTTTTCCTCCTTGAAAATCGTAATGCAATTGAAAATCGTAATGCGTTAACTGACTTCGAGTTTGGGAGACTAGTTAGGAAGTAATACAAATTTTATTGGGGAGTTGAGATTATGTCTCGCATTGAGTGCGTTGTTACTAGGATTCATTTAGTTTGTGGTGAAATATTTGAAATACATAGTGAACACACACATCTTGGCATTGACATACATGACACGCACTTGGAGAAAGTGATATGTTAGTTCTCTATTCTTTCAACATGTATGTTTCACTAAGCCTGTTAAGAACCATGATATGTGTTCCAGAGGGGATGGGCAAGTGAATTGATTTGAATTTCTGGTACAACTGGGAATAAATAAGTGATCAACAAAATTTCTCTAGTTTTCAGATACTGAGATCTTCAGAGTGGACTCTGTAAATTCTATGGGTCAGACAACAAAACAAGAAGAGTACTCGACTTTCTTGCCACCGATTCTGAAAGAAGTCAGTGAGATATGGAGCATGTTTGGGAGTGATTAAAATTCAATTAAAATTGAAAATATAGCCGTTATTAGGTCCACTCGTCTAATAAAAGTCAACAATAACAGCTAGTTTTTCAATTTTAATCTCTACCGAACACGCCCATAATCATAAGTTTGGAAGCTTGATATAGTTTTTGTTTGCTCATTATGATGATGCAATATGCAGTATGTTTTTTGTGTTTTTAGATGGTTAAATGATAGCCAGGTTTTTGAGTTTGCGTAGAATTGAGATTTTTAAAGATTTGTAGACATCAATTTTTGGCTGCCCAACTGGTTTGAAGACTGAAAAGGAAAGACAGCAGCTGGGTTGTTATTTATCTTGCCTGGCATTCTGAAAAGTTAGTTTAGACTATGATCTGCTATTATCCAGGACAAAATCTTCGGGAACATTATTCTTGGGTATTTAAATAAGTTGACTTTCCTTCATATGTTTATATGTCAATTGTCTCCCTGCCTTAGTTTGGAACCTGTTTCTGTTTCCAACATGGATACTAGTGATGGTGAATGTCACGTTTTTGTAAAGATTTTCTGTTGCATACTTACTTTAGGGATCTAGATCATATATTAGCGTCCTTTTTTATATTGGTTTAGCTTTGATTATGCACCTGATTGAGTTTTTCTGGAAGTTGGATAAAATAAAGTTTACTTTGTAATAGGTTTTCACTACTTGTTGCAATGTCTACATACTTTAGCATTGAAAGGAATACGCTCAAATTGTATCATCTGTTATTATGTGCTGCCGCAGGGTTGTTGCTTGATGACCTGCTTGTCGCAGAAGATCTTGCTGCTGCTGAAACAACTAATGCAGCTTCTCATGCGGCTGCAGCTGCTGCATCAAATTTGCAGCAAGGGAGGTTACTGGGTAAATATGGATTTGCCGATGATAGAACAAGGTCACTGGTGCCTGATACTATTGTTGATGGTGCTGTTGTGGTAGGAAATCCTGTTGCTCCGCCTGTAAATGGTGATGTGCATACAGACATAAGCACAGAAAATGCAATGCTCCAAGGTTCTCGGTAAGCTCGTGACTAAATATTTATATAGATTCATATTCTGTGGTTTACAAATTGCTCAGTAGTTTTTGCTTATCAGTGGCTTAAAATTCATATATTAAATTCGTATGCTTTGCAGAAGACTGAGCAAAGGTGTTGATTACTTAGTTGAGGCTGCAGCAGCAGAAGCTGAGGCAATTACTGCTACGTTAGCAGCTGCTAAAGCTAGGCAAGTTAATGGGGAAATTGAGCTTCCAGATAGAGATCGTGGGGCAGAGGCAACCCCTAGCGGGAAACAGACATCTAACTTGATTAAGCCTGATTCTTCAGTATCAAGCAGTCCTGCTACAGCTGGAGTTCGGCTTCATCACCGTGCTGTTAGTATCAGAATAATAAATGATATTAAACTCCTGTTTGGTTTGGCTAAAATTTTTTAGTAGATTTTGATAAAAGTTGATGAAATATGTGGTTGAAAAGTTTATATAAGTTGCGGGTCCTATAAAATGTGTGGTTGAAATGAGCTCGAGGAAAAATGAGTTTTGAAAAATTGGGGCCAAAAATGGCTAAGTAAATTTCATTTTCAGTCAAAGCCGAGTTGTAAATTTGTTTCGTTATATGTCATCAATACATTGGCAGGTTGTTGTGGCTGCAGAGACTGGTGGGGCTTTAGGTGGCATGGTCAGACAGCTTTCTATTGATCAGTTTGAAAATGAAGGCAGACGAGTCGGTTATGGTACCCCAGAAAGTGCAACTGCGGCCAGGAAACTTTTAGATCGGCAAATGTCTATTAACAGTGTACCCAAGAAGGTACTCCTTTTCTTTGTCCTCAACACAGTAAACTTCATCAAATACAATGTTTATACAGATTTATTCCTTTGTTATTGCATTGAAGAGCGTCAGTAATGAGTCCCAAAGTAAATTGCTAATATCATGCTATTTGCTTTAGTCAAATTCATTAGAATTGTGCACTTCTGCTTTCTACTTGCATTATGTTCTCCACTGGAGGTTTACTAATCTGAATTTCGCCATAACAAAATCAAGCGCTATACGCATACGTAAAAGAAAAAAATCACATTTCTCTGAATGCATGGATGTTAACCACATGGTTTTATTTCCATGTCATAAAATTTGATGTGTATATATGATGAGTCCATTTCATTATTAATTTTGCTTATCGTAAATTAGTTATTTTGAAGTTGTTGGGTCATGGCCTATCTTCTGCATTCCCAGGTGATTGCTTATCTTCTAAAACCTCGTGGTTGGAAGCCTCCAGTTCGTAGACAGTTTTTCTTGGATTGCAATGAGATAGCAGATCTTTGTGACAGTGCTGAGAGAATATTTTCCAGTGAACCTAGTGTACTACAGCTCAGGGCTCCTATTAAGATATTCGGGGATTTGCATGGGCAATTTGGGGATCTTATGCGTCTTTTTGATGAGTATGGATCTCCTTCAACTGCTGGGGATGTAGCGTAAGTTTTCAACCTATTGTATCCTTCTACCAAATGCTTATGCTGTGAGACTGTTTAATTTGTCTTGCTAGCTTCCATGATGCCTAATTTGTTGTTTTTTATCATCGATGTTCCAGTATTTTCGATAAATGCTTCATTGACCATGCAGTTAGCAGAAGCCATCATAGAATTTAAATGATTCCATTGTTGATTGCATGTTCTATTGGATAGGCTAATCATTCCCAGTTGGGAAGTTTGGCCTTCTTTCCTGACTCTGTTGTCCATCCATTGTTTCCCTCTCAAGATGCAATTCTAAATTATGTTACTTTCACTTTTTCGATGAAATTTGTGATATTAAATATAATTTTAGTCTCTTTTAATATTGTCACGTTCTAGAATATTTACTGGAACAGAAGATTATATTCCCCCTGTCATATGCATCTATGCCCCTTTGCCCCTACTTTTACGTGATTTTCACAAGTTGCTTAGATTGACTTTTAACTGTTTTATTGTTTTATATGACCTACATTGATTGTAAAGTCTATTCACCTTCAATGTGATGCTAATTTTGTATATAACTATCAGGTATATTGATTATCTGTTCCTAGGGGATTATGTTGATCGTGGTCAGCACAGCTTGGAAACCATAACCCTTCTCCTAGCTATGAAGGTACTTCTCCTGTCTGTCATTACAGCCTTATCATTTCTTTTCCCCCTCTCCATTCTGAAGTGTTCTAATGCATCTTCGTCCAAATAAATGAACGTGTAGGTTGAACATCCTCATCAGATACATTTAATTCGTGGTAATCATGAAGCTGCAGACATCAATGCTCTTTTTGGCTTTCGAATTGAGTGCATTGAACGAATGGTAAATTATTACGGGTTTTATTAATTGTGCTTTTCTATTATAAAAAAATTGTAGGGACCTTATAATGGTGCCTTAAATAGGGTGAGAGAGATGGAATCTGGGCATGGCATCGGATAAACAGATTATTCAACTGGCTCCCTTTGGCAGCATTGATTGAGAAAAAAATTATCTGTATGCATGGTGGTATTGGAAGATCAATCAACCATGTAGAACAAATTGAGAATATTCAGCGTCCAATCACTATGGAAGCAGGATCAATTGTTCTCATGGACTTGTTGTGGTTAGTGCATGTCTGTTCTTTCTTTATTTTTATTCTTCTTCTAATTTTCCCGATTTCTATTCTTACACTTGAATATTTCCTTGTAGGTCTGACCCCACAGAAAACGACAGTGTGGAAGGATTACGTCCAAATGCAAGGGGTCCTGGCCTTGTTACCTTTGGGGTGGGCATTTCTCTCATGATCTGTTTTCAACTTCTTCATTTTTTATTCTTTACTTTAGGATGATGACTTTTTGATTGTGCGCCTCATTGTTTTGAATTAAATCGATCTTTTTTATCCTGATTTCTCTGTGTGCTTGCGTGTTTTTGAGGGATGTAGGGATTAATGTTACTGACGTTCATTTTAAGTAGGTAGGAAGTTGCAGTTAGTTAGTCTGCAAATAGGGTCTGTTCTTGTTGCTGAAGAATTGAGCTTATTTTGGTCAAGAACAATTTTACATCTTAGCTTTGATATTTTTCTTTTCTTTTTGAGTTAAAAAATTGGTGACCACTTGCCCAAGTCAAGGAGTTGCTAAAACTTTGCAACTTAAACAACAATCAGAAAGCAATTGAATGAGATGTTGCAAATTCACATAATGTATGCCTCGTGAATTTCTAAGGCCTGTCATCTTCTCTGATTTCATTTTTTTCTTTAATCCGGTTGACTGAAGAAGCCTTTGTGTAATTATGGTCAAAAGATATTATTCTGAGAGTCGGTGAGAATGAAGTAGAGAGGTCCTATATTATTTAGAAGGTTCACAAAGGATTGGTGGAGTCTGCCAGAGCTAAGCTGCCTGTTGGGATGTTTTAGTTTGCCCTTATTCGAGAGGTTATAAGATGAAGAATAAGTTGATTTATTTTAACACTTATTCAACATCTTGTACGTTTATCCAAAATTAATGTTATTTTTATAATTATTCTTGGATTATTTTGTGCAACAAATGGAGAATTGTTTGAGTTCTTGTTAGTTTCTGTGTCAGTTGAGAAGTATGGCTCATCCAAGTTTCTATCTGTGCAGCCTGACCGTGTAATGGAGTTCTGTAATAACAATGATCTTCAACTGATTGTACGGGCACATGAATGTGTAATGGATGGATTCGAAAGATTTGCTCAGGGACATTTGATTACTCTATTTTCTGCCACAAACTACTGTGGTATGACCTAATTTTAATAAACATTGGTTGACTTATAGTTCTATAATTTCTATTCAAAATTTGCTTTCAGTTTGAATGTTCTCTGTAATTTTCTTATTTTTAATCCTGCAGGTACTGCAAATAATGCTGGTGCTATCTTGGTTTTGGGTCGAGATTTAGTGGTTGTGCCAAAACTAATTCATCCATTGCCGCCTGCAATTTCATCTCCGGAAACGTCTCCTGAACGCCATATAGAAGACACTTGGATGCAGGTGCTTACATATCTCAAACTTGGCGTTATTTGATATTCTCCACATATCCGACAAATGACTTCTTATATTTTGTTGATATTGATCTTGCTGCTTCTTTTTTCTCTCCTTTTCGGTTGCAAAATTAGGAACTCAACGCTAACAGACCACCGACGCCGACTAGAGGCCGTCCTCAAGTTGCTAATGACCGAGGTTCTCTTGCTTCGATTTAGATCATGCTTCCAGATATGGAGTATGTTTAGCTAAGCTTAAAAATAAGTAAAGATAACTTTTAGTTTTCAGCTGTTCTTGGATAAATTACCTTTTTCTGACTTTTAATTAAAAAAATTACTTATTTTTAAAGTAACTCCTACCTTATTATCTAAATCTGCAACTTTATTTCATTTTTTATCAATTAAAAAAAAGCTGTTTATTTTAAATTTTTATATGTAAGTTAATAAGTGAACCTCTTAAGCTCGGCCAAACATGCTCACAAATTTTATACTTCTCTGAGGCTCTGGCTAACACGTATGCAGTGATTTGTGCATAGCACGACTCTACATGGAGGATTTTCCGATTTGTATTCCTTATGGAAACGGCAAGGCTTTGAACTCGTGCGATAGTTCACATTCTTGATCGACCTTTAAAAGAACACACAAGCTCATCCAAGCACCATTTTGCTGGCGGTGATTTGCCTACTTCATTTGTTGTGCTGAAAGCAGTTCGTCGGGAATAGTGAAAGTTGAACCGTTGTACATGAGCCTCAGACAGAAGTTGCAGTGTTTCGTCATTTATTTGCCATGTGGGAGGGTGGGTATTGCTTGTTATATTTTCTCTCTTTTTGTGTCTTGGGTGGGTGTATTATTTTTATTTATATTTTAAGAGGACGTGAAATCCGGTCCGTATAGTGATTGGCGGGATACTATGATGTTGAAATCTTCTTGTCTGTGTGTATAATAGAGGGTGTTGCAATGTGCAATTTGTGTTTCTACTCTATTTGATACAACATTTGTGTGGAAAGATGAGAAGTCGTTCTCTATTAGGATTATTAGCTGGTGCATTAGTCATCTCTGGTATACTGGTGTCCTTTATGATGGTGCTTTATTGTGTACAACAAATTTCGTGTACAGATAGATACATGGAAATTGTTTCAAATATGAAATTTAGATACTAGAGTGGATTTGATCATAGTATTGGTGGCTTTTCTTCTGCATGATTATCTGATTAATGATCCGATTGTTGAGACATTCATTGGTCTTGATTTTTCTACTTCAAAGTATTTGATTTGGCGATAGAGAAATTTATCTACTGTGATTGTTTATATAGCACTGGATTTGGTTGATGCTTCAAATTTGCACGCACAATTATACCTATGTTTGGAGCTGGGCCAAGCATGGTTTTGATGCACCCAGGGCTGGTTTACGTATATGCACAATTCTGGATTGAGATTCAAAAAATAATAGGAGATCATCTCTATATGATATGGTAATTGATGTGGGGGTGAAATAGTAAGATCAAATATATGTGGATATGAAATCTACTTTATTGATTTTATTAATTAGAGTAATACTATTTATCATCGCGGGTGTTACACCACCCATCTAGATGATACTGAATAGTATTAAATGACATATAATTTGATGAATAACGTAATTGTATTTTTAATTTAGCCATAGCATAGTGTTACCTATAATGATGTTGTAGATTAGTGGTGCTATATAATATTATTTTATTATTTGTGAGGAGATCATTCTTAGTTTCTGCATATAGCATTATTCTTATTCAAATGGAATACTTGCGCTTGACCCAACTTGACCCATGGAGCTGGCCAAGTACGATTTATTTTAACCTTGGCCATGATAGTCCAACCAAGTTTTTTGCCTCTACAACAGTGGTTCTTTTCCCGTGTTAGCAACTCCTACCTACAACACAAGTGACAATGTGAATGTTTGTGTCAAAAGGTCTCGTTTTGGCCAAAAATCTTTAGCCGGTAACAAGAATGCACGAGCCACGTGACAGATCAACCTTGACTAGAAGTGGTATTGTTGACCTTGGTAAAAACTGATTAGGCCAGCAGTTGAAGACTTCGAAGCTTAACCAACAAAGACAAGGTAGACATTGAGAGGTGAGTCGATGTGGAGCAAACCCCAAGGCTGACTCTGGACTCGGTGAGTATGACGCTTAAAGGCAACTAGTATGAACAACTCAACTTAGAAAATGTCTAGATGTTCAAAATGTTAATAAAGTGACACTAGATTATTCAACACGCTAGCTCAACATAATATTTACTCAAGCCAACAACTATGTAATTGTCAAGTACTAACTGCTAAACACCATTCATTATCTTTTTATATAAATGGGTCCTTATTGTCAATTGTTAGAAATAGGACTCCAATCACCACTAAAATTGGGCTCAGTTGCTTCCAATCGAACACCACAAGTCACAACCCAATCCGAAATCAAATTTCCCTAAACGGTTGCTCTACAATTTTTGCCCACAAAGGACTGAATGTGAAGGATGTGTAGCGTCAAAGGATCGACCACTAAGGTTAAGGAAGATAAATGAGAACAAATTACCAACAGCACAAAGCCAACGCACAAAGCTAACAAAGGAATCTGTTTTTTCTCGCAAAACCCGGCTGCACAAGGTTTTCACACTAACAGTAACAGTGATGGGACGGTGGGTACATAGAGAAAATAGGTATGGACTTTTGGTTAGAAAAGATAGGGCCCAATAAGAAATATGTAAGTGGGCTAACAACCGAAAAAGCCATCCAAGTCTTGGGTTGGACCATGAGCAGCACTAATTTAATTAGGTTGCTTCAAATGGTCCAAGTGGATTACGTGACACTGTGACAGGTTTAGACAATTGTGGTGTCGACATTTCACTTTACTCATCGGTCGAGACTTATAAGTATAATTCCAAAAAAAAGGGTTTTAACATCATTACCCGAATTTATTGGGTATCAAAACCCAACATCAATAATAGATCCACCAACTAATCGTGTTCAATCTTTAAACTGACCAACTCAATTCTTGTTTTGCATTTAATTATTAAATAATCAAACAAGGCTTACATGCATTGCATGGTAAATACAAAATAGGCCATTACCTCGATAATAATGAGCAAACTAATATCTGCAATATCATGAATTATTAAGAACTTTCAATTTTCTGGCAAATACAACTTATAATTTCTTTGACACTTACCCAGGGTAGCATTCGATAAAGGTGTCAATGGGCCGGGCCGAGCCGAGCCGATACGATACCCACATGAGCTCGCACGAGCCGAGCTCGTGGCTCGTTGCCAACAAGCCGAGCTTAAGCTACCCAGGGTAAGTGTCAAAAAAATATATATATATACACATTTTCTATATTTTTAAAAATATACATTTTCCAAAACATTTATAATTTTTAAAATAATAAATATACATTTTTTAAAACATTTTTATTTAAAAAAAAAGGATAAATTCTCCTCCTTTATTCGGGTTTGGGACTGGCTACTTCAATTTCGAGTAAGCGGAGTTAAAATTGTACACGAACAACTTGTTACGTGTACAATTTTTTTAAAAAAATTTTAATGGTATGAAAATAAAATTTTGTAATGAATGTAGTGAAATTAAATATCACTTACTTGATTACATGCAATTTCTGCATGTTTATGTTGAATTCGATAATTAGCTTCTTCCCAATCTTTCACGCACATTAAAAATTTCAAAATATCTTCTTTTAGTCGACTTCGGATATCAGAGAGAACTGTCGCATTTATATTCTCTAATTATTAACATAATAACATTAAATATAGTTTGAGTGTTATGAGGATACTCAACAATTTTAAAAGTAATAATTTTTTTATGCGTGATCCAAAGTGGGTCTATATAGTATGCAGTTGCAGCTATATAACCTTTCTTATTAAGTCCTTCCTACAAATCCGAAGTTAAAGATATCACAACCCTATATTTTTCTAAATTCTCAATCAATAATTTCTTTGAATTAAGAAAATATTCAATTGTATTAGAACGAAGAGTATTTCGACTTACTCCAACGTACCTCGGTTGAAGATATTGTTTGACGTAGTTTACGAAATGTTGGTTGTCCACTATTACTAGTGGCAGCTTCGCTGCTGCAATGAACTTCACCATTCCCGTTCGAGTTTTCTCTTCCGAATACATCCACGTAGAAAGTGGTGTAGTAGTAGCACTGGCGCCTAGAGTACCAAACTGTAGTTGCGTTTGACCAGCTGAAGAAGCCTATGTTTGGCCGTACATGTTTTGTAGTGATGGTTGAGGTGGATGGTTCCAATGCCTTTTTGTCATGCCAGTCGTCGTTGGCAGTATTTACATACTGCTTTGGTTTCGGGAAGTCCATCAACCACACCACCAGTTTTAACCAATTTGAAATGGTCCCAACATTTTATCTGTTTCTTCTCCTTTCTCTTCCCTTTTGCATCGACAATATTTAATGTAGGTTCTTCATCTTGTTTCAAATCAATTGGAACACTAGGATCAATATCAACGTCATCCAAATCAATTGGATGACTACCTTCACGAATGTCGAAATCTTCAATATTTTCTGAAATTGGTAATTCATTGAAATCGACAAATTCATTCCCAAATTGACTTTGGGCAGGTGTTTTGCCTTCCATACCTAACAAGTTTTCAACAAATTGTCGTAGATCCATTTGTGAATAATAAAAATTGAATGTTGAAGACTTAAAGTAGAATGTAGAAATATAGAATTGAGAAGTGAATGAAGATTATATAGTAGTAAGTGTATAAAATGAATTGTAAAAGAAGTAAATGATGATGATTTGTAGAATGTAAAAAAAAAATGTAGAAGAGGATTATAGAATAAATAAATGATAATTATGATATTGTTGATAATGATTTGTAAATTGTAAAATGTAGTAGAGAGTAGAGTAGAAAATGAAAGTTTGGTAGGAAAATTGTGTAATGAGTGAGTATTTATAGAAGAAGAACATTAGAAAATAAAAAAAAAAAAAAAGTGACCAAAACGATCACTGAAAAATTCAGTGACCGTTTCGATTACGTATGGTTTATTTTTTTTTTAAATTTAACGAGCCCAGCGGCTCGTGGGCTCTTCTTGGCCGAGCCAAAGAGCCAGGCTCGTGGGCTCGTCTTAGACGAGAGGCTCGCCAACAAGCTGCTCGTGAACAGTACAAACCGAGCGGGCTGGCTCGTTAGTGGCTCGTTGATCGCTACAGTACAAGCTGAGCGGTCGAGCCAACGAGTCGCTCGACTCGATTGCCACCCCATTCGGCTCGTGCTCGGGCTCGTCGCAGCTCGTGGATCGTTACAATACGAGCCAAGCGCCCGAGCCAACGAGTTGCTCGACTCGATTGTCACCACTAGCATTCGAGTAATGCCCTTTTATTCTAATGCATAAATGGCTAGAGTTCGCGTCTTCTTATTTTCAATCTCGGGCGTTCAGCTTGATTGTCACCACTAACATCCGAGTAATGCCCTTTTACTCCAATGCATAAATGGCTAGAGTTCGTATCTTCTCATTTTCAGAATTGCTTTAAATAGAGAGGATAATAAATGTCGTTTACATAAAAGTACCTAACGCATCGAGACTTGTACATTGAATTTGAAGATATTTCCCAATCTCGTCCCATATTAAGACAAACCCCAAATCCTTCCTCTGCGGATAAATTAAGTTACCGGTAATTACTATTAGTATTGAAAATGAGAAGGGGGCATTACAGGGGTGATTCAGGCGGCCGTGGCCGTGGCGGTGGTCGTGGTGCATACGGAGCCCAATTGAATCAGCAGCAGCAAAACAGGTCTGGGTATTATCAAGGACGCCACCAAGAGCAGCAGGAAAAAGACCCTAATCATTATCACAACCAATTGAGATGGGAAAGAGACGGTGGTCACAATAAATTGCCTATGAATTCCATGTCACCCAATGCATCATTCGACGAAGGCAAGTTCTCTATTTCACTTCGTTTAGTTTTTTCCTTTGGATTAAGTGTAGTTTATCGTGGATTTTGTTAAGAAAATTGTTCTCTTTGGAATTACGGCTTGTAATCACCCGTTCTGCTTTGTTGGATCAACTAAGTTGGGGTGGGAAACGGAGTATATTGCTTTGAGTAGTGTTATGTCTGCTGTCTGCCTGCCTTTTCTATTTCTATTTTGTTAATTTTCTCTGTGCTTGCTTCTTGTCAGAAAAGGAAAAAGATATTTAGGTTTGTTAAGATATATATGATATCCAAGATGTCTTGTTTATTAAATGCCAAAGATTAAACTTTTTAATGTTTCTTCTTAGATTAAAACAAAGAAAAGAAAAGAAAGAAAGAAATCTACCACTTGTTTGAATTTTTTTTTTTTGAAAGTGTACTAGTTTTGTTTCTTTTGTGGATAGTTCAGTCTTTTGCTTGAGGGTTAGGGGGTTTGTTAAGGCCTATCAGTTTATTGTCCAACGAGAAAAATATTTAAGTTGTAGGAAGAGGAAGCAAAAGTATAATTTTAAATCTGTAGAAAAGAACTAATTGGTTACTAATTTATTTTTGTCCAAGTCGTTCAAGAATCATGTATACATGAACTTGTAAAGAAATATTAATTGATTTCGAAGCTCCAAACATATTTTTGACATTGAAAAGCAAACATGAAGGATTTACTCGAAAAATATATATCATGTGCTTGCGGGTATTGGAAAAATTAATTACTTTTTAGAAATTTGTTCCTACTTCGATCTTGCATTTGATTATTAGTGCACTAACAATTGCAGAACACCCATTCACTTTTACACCATTTTGTTTATTGGAGTACTTCTGGTCATCCCAAGATTAGGACTTCTATTTATCAATCTTAACCAGCTGTTTGCCAATTGAAGTGGTTTGGAGTAAGCGTGATCTCACCATGAGCTATTTGAGATTCTCCTCATTTGCTTTTCGGAGCCACATGGCCAGAAGAGAGTCCATAATACCTGCTTAACCCTCACTTCAAGGGACCATAGACTGGAAGTGATCTCTAAAGCACCACATTCATCCGAATACAAGGAATGGGACATATTCATTTGGATGTCCCATGCAGACTTAGACCTGCCTATGCCTGAAGCCACTCCCTGGTGGTCCTGACCACACTCCAGAACTGGAGCTCATGTGGAACCTTTAACTTCTGGTGTAACAACATAATGTGGAAATATTATATTTGCCTAATGTCCAGGAGATATTAACCTGACACCAAATGTCATTATAGAGCTGCACCTTAAATTTGCTTTCACATGGTTGGCTATAAATTAAAATATTCAAAGCCCAATAAGAAGCGTATATTTGAAAATTCAAATGGGCAGGCCTGACCTGCTTTTGACAATTGTGATCAGTTTCTGCATTATTGTTGTTTATAAAGCGCTTCAAGTGACTAACATAAGGTGTCTTGTGTTTAAGGAGCTATCATAGTTTGAACCATATACATACAAGAATTAGTCTTTTTGAATGCTGTGCTCTTTGCTTATCTGTAAATAAAGTAAACCTTTTTATTATCTCCTGTTGGAATTGTATGATCTCTAGATTTTTTGAACTTCGTGTAAGATGAGGTTATTTTGATTATATTGTCAATAGATTTTCTCTTTGAAAACATCTAATGTATCTTAGGCAACTCATTTAAATGTTTTTAGAAGTGATCATTCTTTTAACTTCCTACCACCATATCCTTGATCCACACACGTGTTACATATCCAAACATGTTTGGAAACAGAGCCTTTTTAAGTTACTTTTGAGCTTAGCCAACCATGCCATATATTGTCAGTTACCAAACTTAACAACATTATCGTGATCTTAAATGTTTGATGAGTTAAGCTCGGAAGGGTTTAATTTTCTTTCGTTACCATCCCTCAAGGACCTGCCCGATGCATTAACCAATCCCCCAATAAGAAAGAGGAAAAAACTCACACACTCTCTATTGGGTTTTGACTTCAAGATTTTTTGTTATAGGTCAAGGATATCAAGCTTCTAGATCCTACTACCAAGATCAGAGGCCGGATCCTCAGATGCCATTCGAAAAACAAAGTGGTAGTGATCCCAGACATCAGCCTCGCGAAGAGGATATGGACATAGGATACGAAGATGATCGCATGTCACAAACTTTTGAAGGTCTTGAGCAGAGATTCCTTGATGACATCATGAAACTGAGTAAAGAACAAACTGATGCAGAGGATGCGGAAAATGCTAGGCATCGGGAGGTTTGCTCATCTTAATACTCATTTTTTTCTTTTATTTTTTAAATATTAAGTTGACGTAGATTTAATATGAAGCTAAATATCCAAGAAAGCATGTTCCGTTGTTGCTAAAAGGCTATGAGATCGGTTTCAAAAAAAAAAGAAAAAAGAAAAAGCCTATAAAGTCTAAATGCTTCCAAATTCTCTGTTGCTTTCTGTAGTCATTATTTTCATATGCTGGGTAGATGGAAAATAAAAGGATTAGGTCAACGAATGTAATAAATGTACTTGGCTTATCTGGGTAGAGACGTTGGATTAATTGAATTTTACCCATTAGGTGCATAGATGAGTTTGTGGTTATTCTTTCTAATCGCTCTTAATAGGAATTACCAATGTATAATTTTTACAAGGGTAAAGCTAAACTAGTAATAAAATACTTAGGTAGAGACCATTTTCCTAAGACTTTTGTATCATGTTTGTTGGCACTTAAAAATTCCATTTTTAGGAATCTCAATCTAATTGAAGGCCACTGTGGTTTGGATCTTGTAAGCACATCATAATTATACGAGTTAGACATTTAGGAATAGTGAGAAGAAATATTCAATGTTTTAACTGCGTCACTTGCTGTCACATTTTGCCATGAGAACCAAGTATCTCCTTGATCTTTGAAAATCAATTAAATTAGCTAAATTATTCCTGAACAATTGTGGCTTAATTCTAGAAGGAAAACAAATATCTAGACCTGATAACTAATGATTTCCTTCCAAATTGTTCAATCCCATGTTACAAGAAAGTATTAATTTAAATGCATTATCCCGTTTAAAATGCCTAATGGTTTGGTCTTGATATACCACCCTCTACAGTTTGGTTTTAGACATTCGCCTACATTACGATTTCTAAATCTATTGCGGTTGTATACACAATTGAGATTTCTACTTGCTCAAGTAACCAATTTTGGTGACAAGGACTACGAAATAAAATCTTAAGACATTTTTTTCCAGATATGCCCATTCAGGCAAATAACATAGCAGGCTATTTGAAACGAAAGAAAGGATACTTTACGGTAATATTCAAACATTCTTTTAAGCATACAATATAACAATACCCCCAAAGTTATGGATGGACTCCATGTTGGTACATGGTGCATTACAAATTAAATTTTATATTGGTCTGCTCCTCCAACCAAAGTCCAGGCTTCACTTCTGATCTTATGGTGGATTTTGTATGCATCAAAGCTGCTTGAGTGCAGCTGATCTGGTCATGGAGACAACAAATATTTTTTTATTTTCACCATGTAGTCGACGTTGAATTAAGGCTTCTCTATTGATATGGCAGTATTTTGGGAACAATGAAAACTGTTAGGGAAACTTTAGTGTCGGTGACCAGCCTTTGTTTTGTTTCAAGTTTGTCAATGAACTTACATTGTTACAATTGGGTCATTGAATTTTAATGTTGATTACTATTTGGTTATTACATCCTTATCCATTAGTTTGACTAACCTAAAAGCTGGCATAGCGGTTTAGTTGTCGGCCTACTTGGCAAATAACTAGTCTGACAAGTCATTTTTTCCGTAAGCAAACTAAAAGACCTGAACTGCAGGACCAAATTGTAACATAACAAATTGAAGCTTGACAATCAACACAAAGTTTTTACCTGAACAGCAGTATGTTTAACCTTCCTGTTATGATTAGCTACTTGAAGGAACTGTGAACAAAAGATATGCTTTTTCACTGGGAGGACATTAAAATAAAATTTTCCGGACAGCATTGTTCTGTTGCTTGGATGCCATAGGAGTTGCATGTCTATCTAGATTACACTTGTTTTCAACTGATGATGTGCCTGATCAATTTGTGCATCGTTTTCTTTTTTCTGTTTTTTTCGTTTGATCAAATTGTGTGGTGTGGAACAGAGAATAAACACAATCAACATACAATATCAAGAGCAGCTAGCTGCACTACGAGCTCGACATGCCACTCGCAGGGACGAGTTTCTTCAGAGGGAGTCCCATGCAAGGCAACAGCAATACCAGCAGGCAGCTATTGACCAATATCCAAACAGTCACATGAGTGCTAATGATCCTCACAGGTACAATGTTAGAACTTCACCAGCAGAGGACTCACACCGAGCTTACAGTGCCGATCAGTATGATTCTTACAGGGAACGAAGTCGTTTTTCAGGCAGTGCAAGGGATCAGGGATTTGAGCCTAAAGTTCAATATACAGGAGGCCGGGTTTATGACACTGGCTCTCGCTACTATTGATCAAATTGTGGAGAATAGCGTCATAACTTCTCTCTTGAGTTTGTGCTCAACATGCCATTGTGTTACTAGTTAGGCTACTTGTACCTACATGCTATCGTATTTTCTAAGTTTAAGGTTTTGTTTATTCTTTATAGGACACCATGACTTGATTAATATCCTGGTAATGTGCTTTATTCCCGTTAATTATGACAGTCTATGCGTTTCATTGTTTGTAACTTTTATCGAGCTTTAGCTTGTTTGAGTTTAAATTAGTCTGATTTAGGTTTGAGCTAAATTTAATTGGGTTTTCAGTATTCAAGTTGGAACCAAATTTGGATAACAAGTCTTGAGCTTTAGTTTGATTTTCTTGAGATGATACAAGAAGCTGATGGCTAAGGGTTAGTTTGTGGGTTCATAATTAATTGGATATCCTTCTCTTACAAGTCTATTTTAAAGGGTGGGTTCTATCCATTAGTTGTTAAAACTGGTATTAAACCAAGTACCTTTTGGGCATGATCCTCGTCTAGGACCAGGTGACCTGAGGGCTTACTTTCAATAAGAGATTGATTGATCGGAGTATCAAATCATTTAGATGTTGGCAAGGACTGTGGAAGAAAATCTCTGCCCGCAACCCGCTTGGTATGTTGAAGAGTGTTACAAGAGTAAACATATAATACCCTAATGTATAGAATGTTATCTATAGGGACTTGTCTTGTAAATATTATTAGACTTGTGTATATATGTAAACCTAAGGGATTTATGTATGAATAAGAAAAACAATAGAATTCCCTCTCCTGTCTCTCGTGAACGATTACATGGTATCAGAGCTGTTGTCATGCCGTCCTCTCCTCTATAGTCCCCGACGCTAGGGCTCTATGCAGCAGTTGTCGGCGCCGAGTGCGAGCTGATGTGTTTCGCCAGTCAACCGAGCTGTAGTCGCCAGTGTCGGACTTGAGCTGCAATCACGCCGTCCTCTCCTCTTCGCGAGCTGCAGTAGCCGGTGTTCCTCCGCTAGTGTTCCTCCGTTTCCGTTGCCTCCTTCGTCGCGAGCTACAGTAGCCGTTTCTAATGGGCTTTCACCTGGGCTGTTTGTTGGTCTTCTGCATTGAGTTTTTTGGGGCCTGTAGTTTGCCTGTTGATTGGATTCTACTGTGCCCAACTCATTTACAGCCAGTTCTTGGAAGTGTGGGTGGTTTGCAATTTGTAGGTTGTTACCTGGAACTTGCAGTCTTCTGGGAGTGACAGGTTCGGGTTCTTCAAGTATTTTGTTATTTGTTGTGATTGTTTCCTCTGTTATTCATTTGATATTTGATAAATGGAGGATAAGACGTCTATGGTTGTGTCTGAAGTGATTCCTATGATGTCAAGAATCACGGAACATAAACTTAGTAAATCTAATTATTTGGATTGGAGTAAGACTATAAGATTGTATTTGCGAAGTATTGCTATGGATAATCACTTAACTGATGAACCACCTAGTGATAGTTCGAAAGCCTCATGGCTAAGGGATGATGCTCGTCTGTTTTTGCAAATACG